GGTGACTCGGCGAGTTGGGTCGCTGATTGAAGGAAGTTCTGAGCATATGGACTCGGCGAGTCATCAGGTTGACTTTGACTTGTCCGTGGTTGACCAGTTGTCTTCCAGGGGTATTTTGGTAATTAAGGGTATTTATTGAGTTGTATGTTTGATGTTTAGTGGAGGAGTTCGTGTCAGAGTTCGGAGCAGCGGGATCTTATCTTTTCAGCCGACAGTTTCGAGGTGAGTTATCCTCACTATATCAACAGGGTCTAAGGCACCAAGGTCGGCCCTTTATTGTATTGAGATTCGGTTATGGTTATTATGTTATTGTTTGATGTGTCTGCATCCTGGTAGCTAGGATGGTACATGCTAGGAGGCCTTGCTAAGGTCAGTTTTTCTCGATATACAGAGTGATGCTATGCTAGTGACCGGTTAGGTCGGTAACCCGGTTAGGGTAATGATATGCTATGTGATCTGCTTGCTCGGTTTGTTGACTATGACTGTTATATGAATGTATGTTTTGTGCACATGGTTGTTTGGACTGGAGATGGGTTGAGGCGGGTCCTGCTTTGTGCTGTAGGCCAAGATACCCAGGGCGGACCGGTTGTTCCGAAGGCCCAGCGAGCGGTCCGGATAGGCTGTAGGCCCCACGAGGGCGGACCAGACGTGCCGAGGCTCGGAGAGTGGACCAGGCTGACTGAAGGCCCGATGCGGGCGGACCAGTCACACTGTAGACTCAGAGAGTGGACCAGGTGGGTTGAAGGCCCGATGCGGGCGGACCAACCCCACTGTAGACTCGAAGGACATGACTAGACCTGGAGGATGGATCCGTTGGACTGAAGGCCCGATACGGCGGACCAGTCACACGGTAGACCCGATATGCATGGCTGTTCTATGTTCTGTTATGTTATGTATGTTTTATATGTTTTGGACCGGAAGGTCGCAGCCTGGAAGGGCGTCTGCGTGGTTGGTATTTTGGGGGTATCTCACTAAGCTTTCGGGCTTACAGTTGTGGTTTAATGTTTTTCAGGTTCTTCAGGAGACTGTGGCAAGGCGAAGGCGCGATCGTACCGCTCTTCATGATTTTGTAGCAATGTGATTCTGGGAATACTCTAATGACTTGTATTGAAAACCTTTTTGTAAACTTTTTAGTGAAAATCGGGTTGTTTTGAAAATTTTAAATTGGTTGTATTTTACGGATGTTACAAAATGCTCTTGATCATGAGGAAAGTGTTCCTGTAGAGACACAAATTATTCAAATTCCCCCAGGAATGGAGGATAATGCACATAATCATGGTCAAACAAATAGAATACGTGACCAAAATGAAACTAAAAATATAAGTGAGATATTTTCTTATTCAGTCGAATGTGATATGATGAATGATGATCCTGAACCACAATCTGTCATTGAATGTCAACAAAGAAATGATTGGGCTAAATGGAAGGAAGCTATGCAAGTTGAGTTAAATTCTCTTAACAAGAGAAAAGTTTTTGGGACCATTATCCTCACACTTGGAGGTGTTAAACCATTATGGTATATATGGATCTTCGTACGAAAAAGAAATGAGAAAGATGAAATTGTAAGATACAAGGCTAGACTTGTTGCTCAAGGATTCTCTCAAAGGCCTGGAATTGATTATGAAGAAACTTATTCACCAGTAATGGATGTAACCACTTTTAGATATTTAATCAGCTTGGCAGTCTCTAAAAATTTAGAGATACATCTTATGGATATTGTTACAGCTTACTTGTATGGATCACTTGATAGTGATATCTATATGAAAATTCCTGAAGGATTTAAAATGCCTGAAGCATTAAGTGCAAAACCCAAAGAAATGTACTCTATAAAATTACAAAGATCTTTGTATGGTTTAAAGCAATCTGGACAAATGTGGTACAATCATTTAAGCGATTATTTGACAAGAAAAGGTTATAAAAATAACACTATTTGTCCATGTTTATTTATTAAGAAAACAACATCTGAGTATGTGATCATAGCAGTCTATGTTCATGATCTAAACATCATTGGAACAAATAAAGAAATCCTTGAAGTGATTGAACTTTTAAAGAAAGAATTTCAAATGAAAGATCTTGAAAAAATCAAATATTGTCTTGGTTTATAGATTGAGCATATGCCTAACGGAATACTTGTGCATCAATCAAATTACAAAGAAAGAGTCTTGAGACGTTTCAATATAGACAATGCCAACCCTTTAAGCACTCCAATTGTTGTTAGATCATTAAATATTGACAATGATCAATTTCGTCCATGCGAAGAATGAAGAAGTCCTTGGTCCAGAAGTACCATACCTTAATGCAATTGGAGCTCTTATGTATCTTACCAATTGTACTAAACCTGGCATTTCTTTCGCTGTAAACTTGCTAGCAAGATTTAGTTCAGCCCCAACAAAAAAGCATTGGAATGGAATCAAACATATTTTTCGATACCTTCGAGGAACTAGTGATTTAGGGTTATTTTATCCTAACAATTCAAAAGAAGGCTTGATTGGTTATGTAGATGCAGGTTATTTGTCTGATCCTCATAAAGCTAGATCTCAAACTGGATACGTATTCATGAATAGAGGTACTGCAATTTCCTGGCGTTCTCAAAAGAAAACACTTGTTGCTACATCCTCAAGTCATGCTGAAGTAATTGCACTAAATAAAGCTAGTAGAGAATGTACATGGTTGAGATCTATGACACAACTAGTTTTAACTTCATGTGGACTTGAAAAAGATATAGATCCAACTATAATATATGAAGATAACTCAGCATGTGTCACTCAAATGAAAGAATGATATATCAAGAGCGATAGAACAAAACATATACCTCCAAAGTTTTTTGAGTACACTCAAGAGCTTATAAAGAACCATCAAGTTGAAATCAAATATGTTCAATCCAGCACCAATGCAACAGACCTTTTTACGAAGGCACTTCCTACTGCAATCTTCAGGAAACATGTTCATGGCATCGAAATGCGACATGTGCATAGAATATAATGTGACAGATGTCTAAATAAGGGGGAGCCAACTATACACTGCACTATTTTTCCATTCGCTAAAGTTTTCTCCCACTGAGTTTTCTTTAACAAGGCTTTAATGAGACAGTACATCAAAGTTGAATTCTTATAACAAATATGTCAAATATGTGTAAGAACATTATGTATAGTGGTTTAATTAGTATAAATAGCACCCTTATATACGTGGGAGATACACCATTTGAATATTTTATATAAATTATGAAATTCTCTCCAAATCTCCATTCTTCTTTCTTAAGGTCATTAGTTTAGTTTTATTAATATTGCTTTAATAGGTCAAATTTTATAACAGTACTTTTTAAAAAAAAAAATGAAAATAAGCCCAATCAAATATTGCCGGCACCAAGTGGCCCAACTAGGGTTCCTTTTGATGATGATAACAATAAACCTTGCAAACCCCTTATCGTCTTCTCAAATCTCAACGACAGCAAGTAAAAACGTAGGGTTTATTGTCTACACTTGAAATTACTATCGATTATGATGCAAGGAACCGGAGTATCAAAGTCCATCGGTGCTTCTTCTACTGCCGCTCCTCCTCCTCCACCTCCGATAAGAGGAGTAGGATTGGGACCAAGAGCAACAATGGCGGACGAAAAGGAAAAGGAAAAGGCACGCAAAGGATTAGCGAAGAAGAAGCTACCAACCGCAAAGGAGATGGTGGCACATTACGAGTCCCAAGGGATGCAACCTCAGGAAGCCTCTCTCAAAGTCATCGACGATCTGCAAAATCTTCTCCTGAGAGTCGTCAACACCAGCAAGAAAAACAATATGGACGCCGTCAACAACCGCCTTCTAAGGCTTGAATCGAAATTGGATTCAAAGCCTGGGTTCCCCCAAACCCTAGCCATCGGAGTATTATCTGGAACAGTCGTTCATGTCTTCCCTCAAGTGGTTTCTTCCGTCGCTCATATCTGGAATTCTGTTCGATCATCTACTTCCTCTACATGATGTACTTGTATATGTTTTGCTTGATTGAACACAATACCATGATTTCAGTTTTAATTTTATTGGCTGATTTTTGCGGTACAATTTTCTACCCAATTGTCTAAGCACAAAAAAGATTTGGTTCAAGAAATTCCAGTGTAGAATTTGTGGATTTCAACATCAACATGCAACTGCAACTGCAACCCCTTCCTGAAGCAAATACCAAAGCTAAAGAACTCATGGATAGAAGCCAAATGCAAATTTTCCTACTATTTTTAAGAGTTTCCATAATTCCATTAATCTCTTTGCATATGTTTCTAATCCCACTAAATTTTTTTATCTGGGTTTACCCATATTTATTTGATTCATACACGAACAAATTAAATTAATCATAATTATCTTACATTATAAATTTATAACTAAAATAAAATAATGATATTAGCTTTGAAAAATTGATACCAAAATAAACATATACATTGTGTTTTGAAATAAACGCTATCTACAATGTTGGATGTCATATAGACTATTGATTTATTTGGTTGAAATCCATTTCAATTACGTAATTGGCCAGGTTCAATTAAACTATTAGTTACTTAGATAGCAAATTAAATACTAATGGGTGTCATTTTATAATATTATCCTTATTTAAAAAAAATAAATAAATAAGTTTAGCTAATAATTTAGCTTATCTTTTGAGTTTTTTAAAGTTTTTTAAATAACAGCTTAGACTATCTTTTCAGAAGCTTTTTAAAAAATTTTAAATATACCCTTAACTAATTCTAAAAAAAACATATTCTTCTAAATACCCTTTTATATAATATAATCAACAGAATCATATAATATAATCAACAGAAATGGAAATTACATTGCTATTTCTTGCATTTACCCCTAGAATATATTTTTTATATAACAAGCAGCATAAAGAGTTAAAGGAACAAGATGTATTGAAGCATAATTTCCTTTTGTTTCAATATTCACATATGTCAGAAGGTCCTATTACCAACATAGCCTGCTTCTGTTCCTTGGTTAGCTTCCAACCCAAGGGCAAACTCGTCATTAATCCTTGGTGCTACATTCCACTTCTGCTCAAGTGGAGAGGAAAAGGAAACACTTAGAATTTTTTCCATAAACTTTTGTAATTTCAGTGCCCTTTTTTGCCACATTTAGCAAAACTATAAACCATAATAAAGAAGGTGAAGCTTCTTGTATTCATGGAGGAGGGGGTAGATTAATATAATCAGCTGCAAACTCTTCATCATTCTTACCCAACATATCTTGTAAGCTACACTCACAATTTAGACCCTTGATTACCCAAAACCTTGGCTTTATCTTCTTCTCCAATGAATAGCTAAAATATCTTGGATACTCAACCACCTCTTTTAATGGCTTTTGCATTGTTTTTACTAAAAACTCATACTTTGGCTTCAAAACCTCTTCAACACTATACCCTAACAATGGTGAAAACTTCCTCACCATAAATGCAATTTCCCTCTTCGATAAACCAATCTTCAACAAATACATCATTCTGTAACAATCAAGTTAATATAATTATAAGTATAAACATGAAATCATTAAAATATTAAAATAAAAAATAAAAAAGGTTACCTTGGATGTAGAGATTTGTTGACATCGCATACAAGAAGCTCTGGATATTTTCTGATTACACGAGGAAAATGATTCTTGGAAACACCAATTTCAGAAAGGAATTCAACTTTCTTCTTCAAAGTTTTATCAATATTTAACATGAAAATTTCTGGGCATCTTCCAAGAATTCTTCCAATGGTTTCTTCTTCAAGTCCCAAATCTTTTAAATAAGAAACCACCTTGTAAAATTCTTGGGGTTTTTGAATTAGTAGTTGAGGACTAGTGGCAATAACTTGGTGTAACATCTTATCTGTAATATCCAATTCATGAAATTGATCAATCATCAACTTCAGTTTTCTAACTGAACAACCTAAAAGAAGTGGCCAGCTCTTGATTGCACGATGAATGCTAACTTCTGCCACCTGTCATGAAATCTTGTCACATGAATTGATAATTTACCATATAACATGATAGCTTAAACTGGAAGTTTATTTAACAATCAGTTATTATACATACCTTCTCTGCATAAAGAAAAGCAAGGATTTCCTCATAATTTTTCTCAATGCTTGTGGAAAGAATCCAAGGGTATTTCAGTAACATCTTACCAAACTCCTTATCCTCTCCATACACCTAAATATGAAGAAAAAACTAACATTTTTTCACGTTACTGATAAAAAAAAAGGTATATAATGAATCAAGAATTGCATTTACATAATTGTCACCATGATAGCAAAGTTATGAACATCATCATACCTTTGAAAAAAGCTGCATTCTTGGTTTGATTTCTTTCTTAATGTCATAGAAAAGGATTGGAGGGTGCAACAGAAGAACATTTCTTATGCAACCTTTAGGGACTCCAATAGATTCAAGAAAATCTACCATTGGCTTTATAGTGGATTCTACAGAGAGCAAAAGAAGTCTGGGAAATGATTCTATCAGGTACCGAAAAGATCCGTCTCCTGAACTTAACAAATCTAGACCTCCACGCCTTGCTTGAATCTATATCAATGGCAGAAATTAACAAGCAATGAGGTGGAGAAGCAAACGCAATAAGATGGTGATTTACCAAAGTATAGGAGTTTCACCTTCTCGAGAAATGATAAGGTCTGTTGCACATCTTCATCAACAGGTACTGATAAGTGCATCATCATTCTTCGACCACTCCTTCCAATTGGCACTTTTCCATCAACATCAGAGAATAATATTTGCTTCAGATACTTGACCTATAAGCAAATGCCAAATCATAATTAACTTTACCAGGTAACAGAAGATCATCGAATTAGGTATGTAGGTAAGCAAGAGAAGAAAGACAAAGAACATGAAGAATGTGATACCTTGTGGAGGAGGTTAGGAGGGGTGTGCGAAGAGAGATAACGAGCAATATGCATAGCAGAAGGAAGAGGAAGACCCACCATGCTTTCCAGCACAGGAACCAAACCTTTATCCCCTTTCTGTTTTCCCATATCAAAAACCTTTTTCTTGTAACCAGAAATCGATGAACAGGTGGCGGTTGAGCTGCTTGTAATTGTAGTGGCCGATTGGAAGAGTTCATCCAAGTCACGAACGCTATCCATCAACATTTCCAGATACTTTGGCGATTTCATAGCGATTTCCATAGATTCCTCCTTTGAAACTCCATTTTCCTGTAGAATCTCAGATACAGCTTCTCTTGCTGCTTGTTTATGCTGTTCATCTTCATAACCCCCGTCAGAAGCAGTAGTAGAAGAAGTCGAAGAAGATGAAGACAGCGGGCGGTGTTGTGGTCGACGGGAATCGTCGTGAAAATAAGCAACAACGCATCTGTTGTGCAACAAAGGGCAAACAGGATCACTGTCTTGCAAATGAATTGGGGACGATGATAATAAGAAACGTCGACGAAGATGACGAGAATAATCACCAGGAAATAGCATCCAATTTCTTGGACCCTGAAACAGTGTTGAAGGTTGCATATCTGCTATTGCAACCATCAATGTCGACATCGGCCTAAAACCCTTCCAGCCCCGTCTGCAACAAAAACCCTCGGATGTGTTTCATTACCCACCCTTTCTCGTCAATAGAAACTAGAGAGGTTCAAATATGTTTTTTTTGTTGGACTATTCCGTTTATATCAAACCATCAAAAAAAAATAATGAAAATATTACATGAAACTATTGAAAAAAAATATGTTAATATTTAATAATAATAATAATAATAATAATAATAATAATAATAATAATAAAGTCATTCATGGATGTTTGGGATTTGCTTAAGGGATAATGACTTAAAAGGGTAACAAACTTTCGATTTTTATCACATTTAGTCACTACATTTTTTTTTCGTTATCTATTTGTCATTGAACTATTGAAACTGTTTACATTTTACCCTTATGACCGGCTGTCTATTTGTCATTGAACTATTGAAACTGTTCACATTTTACCCTTATGACCAGCCGGTCATAAGGGTAAAATGTGAACAGTTTCAATAGTTCAATGGCAAACAGATTACGAAAAAAAGTTTAGTGACTAAATATGAACAAAATCGAAAGTTCGTTTCTCTCTAAAAAGTTCAATGACTAAATGTGAACAAACCTCCTCTTGTATTATGTTTTAGCAAATTATTTATTTTTGTTAAATTGTAGCAACATTTGTTGATGAAGAAATCTATGAAAAAAAAAAAAACAAAACAAAACCTTGAAAATATATTTTAAAAAAAATAAAAAACCAAAACCGAAATAAAAAACCAATGGTTTGACATTTTCCAAAATAAAAAATTAAAATTTCCAATCTGATTTTGGTTTTACAAAAAAATGAATCATTCTCACTGATGTGAATTATGACCATTGGTTTGGCATGCGAAATTTGTGACATCCCATGAATATGTAGTTACAACATCGTCTGAAATCGTAATTCATAGTAAGGGGTTAGAGTATCATCACATGAATACGTAGTTACAACATCGTCTGAACTCGTAATTCATCGCCTACAGGTTATGGGTCTACTGATGTTTCCACTGGGTTGTCTAGAATAGTCCGTGGTCGCCATATATACTTTGGTAGATGACTACATCGCCACATTGCTGGTAAAGGTTATGGTATCTCCTTTCATCCTACATCACATATCTCTCATCATTTTATTTCATCACACACCAACTATTTCATCTACCCATGTTTCATCCGCAACATATTTGTAGATATAAAATAAATATACCGTTTAAATCTTTTAAAACATGTATAAAATCGTTCATCCAGCATAGACAGCAAGTATTCAAATAATATGCGCACATAGCACGTAATTTATATAAAATACTTCATATCTGTGTGTAAGATGAAAGTAACTATATATACCATAAATGCTTCCTAACTTTGAACCCCAAGGTTTACTCTACTAAAGCTTTATATTCTCGGCTCTCTGAACCTAGAAGGGTCCAGATCTATCACACCAAAAAGCTCAAGATAGCTCTTCCTCTCACTCTACACATTCAAGCTCGCTAGGGTTCTCACTTATGGGAAAGGTAGTTGCAATTGAAGGCCATAAGTGCCTTTAAATATGGCTCGAGCCCAAAGATTTAGGGTTTCTGCCAACAGCGCGGACTCGTCGAGTCGCCTCACCGACTCGTCGAGTCCATTCATTAATCTGAGTCATCAGTCGCGACCTTACTCGACGAGTTAAGGCGTCAACTCGTCGAGTCTCTCTTCTTAACTCAAAAGAAAAATACTTAAATGATGATACCTGTAAATCCGGATGTTACATTTTATTTTTTTTTATTTCATAGATTTATTCATCAACAAATGTTGCTACAATTAAACAAAAATAAATAATTTTGCTAAAACATAATACAATAGGAAGTTTGTTCACATTTAGTCATTGAACTTTTTAGAGGGAAATGAACTTTCGATTTTGTTCACATTTAGTCACTAAACTTTTTTTCATTATCTATTTGCCACTAAACTATTGAAACTGTTCACATTTTATCCTTATGACCGGTAACAGCCGATCATAAAGGTAAAATGTGAACAGTTTCAATAGTTCAATGGCAAATAGATAACGAAAAAAAGTTTAGTGACTAAATGTGACAAAAGTCGAAAGTTCGTTACCCTTTCAAGTCATTATCCCTTTGCTTAATTAACGAATTAAAGATTGTTTGATAGAAGTGTTTATAATGAAATAGAGTTTAGATTAATTTGTATGGTTAATAAAAAACTATTGATAAATTGCTTCTTTTAAATTGGATTAGGATCACTTTTCAAAAAGACAAAATTGCAAAAATGGTCCCTGTGGTTGGCAAAATTATGTGACTTTGGTCCAAAAAAGTTTGATGGTGCGTCAGTGGTCCAATTTTGGATCTTTTTATTGTTTTTGGTCCCTATACACTTAAAAAGACAATTATGCCCTTACAATTTATATTTTTCATTTTCTTTAATTCTGGAAATGCATAAATTAATTTAATTTATATTTTTCATTTATATTTCATTTGTCTCATCTCTCTCAACAAAAGAAACACACACACACTCACACTCAAGAAACATATCGCCCCTAATGGATGCCACCATTACCACCGACTGCAACCACCAACAACTACCACCGTCCGCCACCATCACCATTGGCTGCCACCACCATCCACTACAAACAACTAATCCCATCCTCGCCCATCTTTCTTTCCTCAGACCTGGATGAAATTTCCCCACCAGAACCACCCTTCTGATTGGTGTTGTCCCTACCAAAATACCACCACTTCCATTTTTCAATGATTAGGGGTTTCAGCCACCACCACCACCACCACCATAGAAGATGACAACATCCTCATTCACCACCATTGTCTTTCTCAACCACTATTCGCCACCAAACACCATCATCTCCCCCACCCTCACCTCCTCTCCGTTAACCAGATGACCTTCACTGTTGACCACCAAACCACCGTTCATCGATTTTTTTCCAAATACCTCTCAATCCTATAAGACTTGAAACATCAGAAAATCAGGGGATGATTGATTCGAAAGGGGTTGAAAAGAACCACAAATATTTCATCAAAAGTACAGAGAAATGAAAAATCTTCTACCTAGCTAGATAGAGCAAAAATCGAACCTCGTATAAAATCTTTAAAGACATGTCAACTACGAGAGTCTTAGAGAGAAAAACACTAACTTGTTTCTATCAGATTCTCAGTTTTGGCGATATACAGGTCCGATTTCATAGTTTTATTTACATATATGAATTCTAGAATTTATGATCCTTGATGATGGTCAGATGCTTTTGTATTGCCCAGATGTATTTGAATTTACCCCTCTTGGTGCAAATCGAAAACCCAAAAGATGATCCTATCTGATTTGCGTTTTTTTATTCTTTGGTTTGGTTTTTTTTAAGGTATTGGATGTGTGTAATAGTCTAGTTTGTAGATCTGGAAATGAACATTTTGAGCTATCGGAGAAGACGAAGGGGCAGTGGTAGATGGGTCGCGTCATTGGAATTTTCATCTGGGTCACAAGCTATCGTCACCGGAGTTTGCTAGGGGTGGGCGGTGTTGCACAAGTAAGGGGTTGCAATGGTGGTGTAGTCGGTGGTTTTCGAGCATCTGTAGAATACAGGGAGAGGGTAGACCAAGTACCGATTTTGGTGTTATTAAGAGAGAGAGAGAGAGAGAGAGAGAGAGAGGTGGGGTATAGTGGGTGATAATTTAATTTTCTTTTTATTTTAAATAATATAATAGGAAATTTAATAAAATAAATTAAAAATGAAATATTTCAGGGCATATTGGTCATTTTATGTTGGGTGTGGACCAAAACCACACAAAAATGACAATATAGGGATCAAAACCGTAGAAGGTATCCAAAATTGGACCACTGGTACACCGTCAAACTTTTTTGGACCAAAGTTACATAATTTTGCCAACCACAGGGATCTTTTTTGCAATTTTGTCTTTCAAAAATTAAGAGTGTATGACTTTTTATGAACTCTTTTTTTATGGTAATAAAACTTGTTTTCAAAAGTGTTTTTCTAATTCTTACTTTTTAAGCTTATTGACGTTTTGAATAAAAAAAATATATTTAGAAGTGGTTATATGACAATAAAAATGAATAAAAAAATATTTGGATTAATTTATGTGATTGATAAAAAAAACTATTAGTTGATAAGCTTATTACTTGATAAATCGTTAATAAAGAAACAAAAAAATAAAGTATTAAATATTAAGAAAAATAGGTTAACTTATAGTCATTTTAGGTGAAGATATCAATCACTTTTCAAAAGTTAAGAGTATGATTTTTTATTAACTCTTTTTTTTATGGTAATAAAACTCTGTTTTCAAAAGCATTTTTCTAATTTCCACTTTTTAAGTTTATTTAATTTTAGAACAAACTAATAAGGAAATAAGCATTTTAATACTCAATCTCAAACCCCCCTAAAGTCATCATTATTGTAAAGGTTATTCCTGATCCTTCATATCCGATTACACCGTTCGAGGATAAATAACTAATGGTATAATACTTTGATTTGCTATCGGTGATACCAATACTTGCTAAATCTTCGGCAACAAATACAAGAAATCCAATCGATCAACCCTGATTATTACCCACCTCAAGACACCTAATCAACTTTCAGAAAACCTACTTCATTAGTGTTGTGGTTGCCATAAGGATGTTAGTGGTGATAATAATGTTTCTAGTCGAGAAGAATATGAAGTTTATCTCAACAAGATTTCCATTGGTATTGGTTAAAAACTCTAGTGCGAATTTGATAATCATGAATTTGACAATTTATTTGATCAAAATGACATTTTCTTCGGCTTCTCTTGTCCTCGCACATCCCAACAAAACTGTACGTCCGAACGTATGATCTTCACCATAAATAACATCATACATAAATTTTTATTCCAAGCTCATATTATTGGATCTATTTGCTCAATAATCATTATTGAGTGATATTGTTAATAATATATGATCATATATAGTCACATCTTAATCAGGTTAGTATTTATTGAATATTTATTAAGTATTTGATTATTAATAAATAAATTTAACTCTTGTATTTAATTAGAGAATAATTATTGTTTTATGAAAAGGATAATAAAAGAAACAACAAACCAGTCATTATATCATATGGTATGATATAATAAGTCATGTACAAAGTGTTGGAGACTTTGGTTAACCATGATTAAATTAATTAGTTACT